AGGGTACAGTATTTTTTTTTGTTATATATTTAAAATAATTTATGAAAAAATACATGAATTGTCCAATGTTTTTACCCGGTTTCTGTAGTGGTCTGTTGATTTCTTTTTGTCACCTGCCCCTTGGCGATCGAAGCGGGCCCAGTGTGCCCATGGTTTTTGTTGTCGGAGGGTGGGCTGGGGAGGAGGGACAGCTTGGTACGTGTTGCTAAAAGACCACTTTCACCCAACATATCCTATAGACCTTTATGGGCTCGCTCTACGCCGTTGTACAACCAACAGGGGCTTTCGCAACCCAAATAATACCAGTGGCATAATTTTGCCTTATTGGCACAGATGCCCCCCACCCCCTGTATTTGGTATGCTTCACCATTTTGACTGCAAACACCCGGAAAAAAACAAACAAAGCCCCCGTGACTGGCAGTATTTATTTATTTATTTAGGATAAATAGCATACTGTTGTGTAAGAAGATAGAAATGGCTTTTAAGAATGCGAAACAGCTTTAGATTTACGTGTGCATGGCGCCCAATTAGCCCCCCCTCCCCCTACGTCCAATACCCCCTTTTTTCACTGTATTACCCAAGCTTTCTGCACACTTGATGGGCAGGATGGTCCAGTTTAAAGATCGGCTATTTAATATTGCGTAGCCGGGAGCAGCGGTGGCCAGGTACCGAGAAGATCTCTTCACGCACATGTGTAAATCCATCCAACCAGTCTTTCTTTTTTTTTTTATTGACTCACCTGTGCAAATGTAAACCTTTTGTTTTTGTGGTCCTGGAGCCGCCTTTTAATGACTCCCAAAAGCGCCGGGAATGCCTGATTTTTGTGCCATTCCGTGCAAGCTCGCCCCGGCCGGCTCATTGACTGGGGGGCGAAGCGCACAATGGCGGCGTGGTGAAACAAATCTTGTGCTCCTGAACAGCCACGCATGAATGCGTTCTCTTCAAAGGTAATCCCGGCCTTTTGTGCGACATCAAAGTTCCCCGTCAATGGAAAAAGGAAGCGCGGCTGATGATTTAAAAAAAATGATAGAAACGCTGCTGCACGGCGGAACAATAAGTCGCCATCCTTTCTGGCAGTGAAAGGTTTAGGCTTTTTAACCAAAAAAAAAAATGTGTGTTTTTTGTTTTTCCCGCCAGATAACGATGACTTCTTAGTCTTTCCACTGGAGTGCGACAGTGAACGGTAGTGCTTAGAGATGGTGCGTTTGGTACGTGGCCCTCTTCTGTGTTCCCCCAGCCCAAACCCAAAGCGGAAGTACAGGACGCTGCACTTTTGGCGAGTCGATTTTAAAAATAAAATGGTCTTGTGCAGCGTTAAAGGAGAACTATGAGGCGAGTTAAAATCACTCACCCTCATAGTTCGAGCCGACATGTGACAATGAAACAGTCACGGGTCGGCTCAATAGATCGGGAAGTGAGCGAACACATACCGTCGCTCGCTCACTTCTCGATCATCTCCCTGCAGAGAGCGGTGACTGTCAGTCTTTGCGGTCGCCAACACACAAACAGGGCCAGAGAGCGCATCGGCTTTATATTGGGGTTTGCATTGCCATTTAATTCTGATTCAAACCAAGCTGCCATGTTATTGGGCTCGTTATAAGTGGCTCCCGGCAGTGTCCCCCCCCTCCTGACCTCCCTTTTTTTTGAACAGCTGTAGCATTTCTATTATTTCTTTTATGCATTTCAATAACGAAAGTCAATAACAAATGATACACCGCGGTCTCCAGTCATTATGCAAGGGAGAAGGGCGCTGTCGTGGAAAAAAAAATTCCTTTTGTTGGAAGTTGCACGGTGTGCTTCCGCTGACGAGATCGGTGCGTTAAAGCTGCATGTCGACCATTTTTAGCACTGCGTCTCTAGCTAACCAATGCCATTATAGACACCATAGTGACCGCAATATCTATACCACAATGCCTCCGGCAGCCAAGTTTTTAGCATATGTATATTTGTGCATTACGCAGAAACAATACAGGTTTTAGCCTCTTCTTTTTTTTTTTTTTGTAAATAAAGACGAGAAAAAAAAAACAAGTCGAAAAGACGTAATTCTGCCTAACATTTTTTTTTTTTAATTGTAATTATGTGTTTATTTTTATTTATTGGTGCTATACTTTGTTATTGTTGTGAAAAGCAGTCATTAACACATCTTTCTTTCCAGATTTAAATATTATGTAGACATATTTATTTTTAAAAAAAAAAGAAAGCATAAACACCATTATTCAAAACGCCTGTTTGTTTTTGTTTTTTTTTTTTTTAA